AGCCTCCTCAGCCAAAAGGTCCCACCCCACTCCCAAGAACCAACAAAGATGGTAAAACGGGTCATGGCAGGGTCATAGCACCCGGCAACCACTAACAAATGAAACATCATCTCCAGCAAGAGATAACAAATTCATGCAAATTCGCCATCCACAGAAGGCATGAAGCACCTGCTTCTGCGACGCATGCCCATGCCCATGGAACTCCAAGCTCCCCCAAAAGGAACCGGAACTCCACTCTCCGCCCCTTTCTGCGACGAACACGGCGACCCGACCGTTCGACCGTTGTTCGCTTTCTTCGCAAAAGATCCGTCCAGCTCAAGAGATCGGCAACGCTGAAAGGACCACTTGTCAGACGACCGTTCGACACGCGTCACGTGCTGCAAAAGACCCCCCAGTCACCCGCCACACGGACGCTCAGGCCTTGTGAAGCACCGGTCACCACGCCACGTACCGGTCCCCAGCACCCCCACGTCATGGTTCTTTTCGCCAGAAAACCAGCTCGGAGGAGTCGTCCAGGGAGCTGTCGCTGGAATCCACCTGCCCAGTCTTCGCGAGCGATGCCGCGCGCGAGCGCCGGGCGGGCTTGCCGCCGGGCTCAAGCGGCAGGCGCGGGTCTGTTTTGATCCAATGGAGAGCGCAGAGCGGAGCGATTGGAGATAATTGGAGTGACCAAAAGAAAACATGTTTCCATCCGATCCCACATTTACAGCATCAGGTTAGGTGAGAAACTCCAGAATGCCAGGTCAATCATGGTCGTCAACCACCCAAATCCCACCTGCCGGTGGCCTATACCAAAAGAGATCTTTCAAGGAAAAACTCCAAGAGGAAAGATCCATTTCCCGTGCAAACAGTTGTAAAAAAAGACTTTGGTCGACCGCCTGGGCCAAAACGAACCGCGCTGAACGGGGGCAAAACAACACCAGGCAAAACGGCGGGCAGATTCTGTAGATCGAGTTCGTTTTGTACGGAGCAGCTGCTGTTGGATTCTTTTTGTGGGTCGTAATCTTCAGCCATTTCTTATACCCTTCTTATCCTTCTTCGTTAATTATAGTTATATCATAAATCTATATCATATGCATGTGTTCCTCAAACCACCTCGAAATCCTCACCCCCAGCTGCATACCGAGAAGAAAAGCACAAAGCTCCGCCCGGTGAGGGAAAAACCGGACGCCCTACACTGCAGTGACAGTAGCACCCAGCCAGCTGCGTCGCCACTTCGGAAGATGCGCATGATGCGCCTCCTGGGTGGGAGCTAGAGGCGACTTCTCCTTCTCCATGTACCAGCGCAGTCTCCTGGCACAACATCTGCGAACACCACGGATGCACAAAAACCGCGGACGTCGCGGACGCAGCTTCTCGATCCAGCTTTGATTCCCCTGAAATGTGCGGAGTCCGGAAAACAGCTCTCGCCATCTCTAGTGCTTTTCTTATTCTTCATCAGGAAAACAACTGTGTGAACTTCCGATAGGGATCCACAGTGATCCACAAAACTCCTCCTTTTTATGCCAAATGACCTGCAGTCCCCTCCAATGTCCCTCCATGTCCCTCCCCTCCCCCATCCTCTTTCCCTGTTTCATCAGGACCCCGCCACCCCCCGCAGGTGCCGTGTCATGCGCTGCGCCCTCCGGTCCTTCGCAAGTACTGGTTGGACTGGGAGAGCTCCTGAGATGCGGAGATCGAATAGCAGAACTATGGGACGGCCTCGGAACACACAAATGGTTCGACAAATCACAGGCAACAACAGAACAGTTAGGTCGTCCGGAACAAGTGACAATCTGGTCTGAAACACCTGATGGTTTTACAAATTCTAGCCTGGAACATCTGACACAGAACGGTCTGTGCCTTAAGGGTTCTACACGTTCTACACTATAGCTATTACGTATACGGCACAGCTCCGACCGCGTGATCAGGATTGTCCCCGTTCCGGGGAACTGGCCGTGCGGTGAGACGGTTGGTTCGGGTGAAGAGACTCGGCACATCTTCGACCAAGGAAACACGTGCGGCGCGGAAACGAAAGAACGAACGAGGCATCACATCATCACATGCGGCGCGGGGTGATTTTCATGGTCAGGTCATGACCATCTGTGATTTGGCGCACTCTTGCAAGTGAGTTGCTAGGCCTCCCCAGTTTCCACAGAGACAGCTAGTCCAGATCCATCTTCATCTTTAAAAAATGAGTTAAATCTCCAGGCCAAAGTAGCGAAAGCAACCTTGGCCCTACCATGGTTGAGAAGTTTCGATCCATGCAGAGCGCGTGTAAGCTCGTGCACTGCTGCTAGATCGATTAAAGAGGGGTTCAAACATCTGGGGACGACATACAGACTTGGAGGTAGACTTCGTTGGTCTCTCAGGTATACAACGTCCTTTCCTTTCAATCAACAAAAAGGACCCAATACTGTTTCGCAACAAAACCACAACTCTCCACACATGGCTTTCCTGTCCCAAGCAGTAGTGGCTTTCCTGCTTCATGGACAACAAGAAAACGTCACACAAGTCCAAATAAAGTACATTTATTCTTTATAAGTACCATCAACATCTGCCAGCCATATAACCATATGAAGATGTTACTATATAGTCCGCCCGCGCTTCGCCCGCTCCGAAGGTGTTGAGGGCGTTGCGGCGGCTCTGGGCAATCGCAAGAAATCTGCTATAGGGTAAATCTGAAATTTTAGCTTGCGGGGGGAAACATTTTTCTCCTAGACATGCTTTTTTGCACGCTGGTTTTAACAACTTTAAAAATGCGTGGATATGATTTTTGGATTCCGCGTTGGCGATGCCGGTGATGCCCGCCGGGAAAAGCCGCGTTATCGACATTGCGGACGCGTGTGCAACCCGGGGACGCTGCATTATTGACATCGTGGGTGTGTTCGGCCGTGTGTCCTGCGACTGACGGACCGAGACGGGCAGACCGAGACAGAGGGACCGAGACAGATAGACCGAGACAGAACCCTCTGTGAAATGGCTGGCGATTAGATAGGGCCATAGCGAAATGCTTCTTCATACTTGAGCCCGGTTAACATTTCCTCCTGGCTCCGAAAGCACAAGTTGTTAGTTCCCGGCTCTTCCCGGCTCCGCGAGCGCAGGTTGCTGCCGAGCCGGTATAGGGTGCTAATGACACACTTTTCCCATGTATGTCTGGATGCATGCACGCATGTATATGTATGTCTGTATGCATGGATGGATGTCTATGTCTGTCTGTGTGTGTGTCTGTTTTCCCTTTACTCTGTGCGGGCGGCTTCGACCGCGAAGTGGTGTGAATATATAGATGGATATCAGATACATTCCAATATTATATCTTATATATCTAACTCACTATCTAACTCCCAAAACCAACGAAACTCCTCCCGACCGCCGAGAACATTGCCGGCCCACTCCGCCACGTCCGCCCCTCCTGGAGTTGAATCTGAAGCTGCCCCAGCGTGGTGTCCGAGACCTCCGGAGGAACGACCGAAGTTCGAGGTGTCCGAACTGAAAAAAAGAAGGCGTTCTAACATGAAGAGTGCCAGATCATCCCGAACATCAACCCATATATAAGCAGAAAAATATCTTGAATCATTTTGACATTGTGTTGAAGCATCTTGTCCTCCAGCATCTGCCTACTTCAGACCCTCCTTGGATACATTTACAGTGACTGAAGACCCCTAGCTCTTTCGGTTGATGAAACACTCCTTGACACCAACAAGAATCCAAGACAAACAATAGCAATAACAATTCTCCCCCTGCACCCCACAAGGGCAGACCGACTGATCATATCATCTTCCAACTTCCTCCCATCCTTGGAGCCAAATCAATCCGCCCACCCCTCACAACCTGAGATGGTGCCCTGCCCCGATATACCATCGCCCCAGTACCAACCCCGCCGTTAACGTGTGGCTCTCTGCTGCCGGTGATGGGCCTCTGCTTCCGGCGGTTGGAACTTAAACTGCCGCAGCTCCCTCGAGGAGATCGCGTGATCTTCCGAGAGCCGGCGGCCCGACCTCAGCTGCAAAGCAGAGAGGCGGAGAACGTCGGTGGTTCGTGGAAGGTGACGCTGCTGATCCCCGGGTAGTCATATTGCACTGGCCATTCAAGAGGGACTTGGAACGATAGGAGATTCCGAGATTCCTAGGAAGCTTTGCCTTAGGACCCCTTGGGGTAGATCCCATTACCAGGGCCCAGTGGATGATGATGGGGCCTGGTTGCCGGCCTTTCTCTGAGCATCATGATCATCTTCTAGCGCCACTGGTTTATTGCGACACACCCGATCTTTGCCAATTTTGTGATTTCGGAGTGACCCCCCAACAAAAACCCAACTAACGTTGTGATTTCACCCGATCTTTGTGTTCCATCATCGTCCCGAGCGTCGCGTCGCGCCACGACGGGGGCTCCGAGCTGAGAGATGGTCGGGCCATCCGAGACCTGCGACACGGGTGAGGTGGGAGGTGACATGCTGGATGTGGTGACATGCTGTTACATGGATGTGACATCTGATGTTTCTCTGTGATTCTATAGAATATGTAGACATGTCCTCTTTTTGTGTATTATGTTTGTTGCTCGATCTTCTTCTTCTTCTCCTCTTTCTTCTTCTGTGATAGTGCTCTCATGTTGTCTCATTCCTTGTTGAGTCGGTCAAACATGTCAAAACCAGAACCATTCCTGTCCTGACAGGGGGCACCAAGTTGAGACAATCAAGATGACATCCTCCACAAAACAATCTCTCTTCTGTGCAGCTCGGCTAGATTACTTGCAAATGCTCATACCCTGAGCCATTGCAGGATTTTATGCATCCAAACCTCCATCCCTCACCGTATCGAACTGCGCATCAACTCTTCGTAGCCCATCACTATATATAGTAAGTTGGAGGCCATCACTATTAATAAGTCAAAAGAAGATTGTGTGTGTTTCTTTTAAAAGCACGACTTAACTTACAATCGATCCCATCAGGCCATCGATCCCATCGAAGTCTTCGAAATAATCGAGATCGATCCCCATCTCGATCGATCCGCTTCGATGCGTGGGTTTTCGGTGCGATTTTCCGCCACGCAGCGAAGTGGGGAAAAGAATCAGATCGCTTTGGTTCTAGGCAACTCGTTGAGCTCATTCCCTGAGGACGGCCAATGACTATGAATTAGGGCTGAGCCAGGCATGAGCCGTGAAATTCCTACATCTCCTTCGAGGTGCAACACTCTTGGTCGCAGCCACAAAGTGCATTAACAAAGATTCAGATGCATTGAAATCCAATTGCAAATGCCGCGCAACAGTTGGACGATGCAACAGTTAACAAAGGTGGCCTAAAAAGGCCTAAACACTATGCAGTTGGCTATGGCAAGCTACACATGCCCACAAAACCCATGCCATGCCGTCACGCTTAAGCGTGACTCAGGCTCCACCACTTGCCATTGCAGCAGATCGACGTTCACGGGGATTGAGGTGGATCACGATTACAGTAATGTCATCGATGTACTCTGCCTGTCGAGCAAACAATTCAGTGTCAGAATGCACTCAACTATATATACTATATATACTATGTATTTATAGTATTAATTATTACTATTATATATTACATAATTCATATAGTCCATAGATGTCTAAAGGCACAGGGCACTGACATGCACTGACGTGTTATAGTAGACAGGAGATCTGACAGGAGGGCACTGCCCACCGGCACGTCGGCACGTCAGCTGTGTGTCAGGAACCGACCGCACGTCGCGTTCGCATCTCGTGCTTGGGCGCTCGAAAGAACCCAAGGGGTGGAAAAACTCGCGCCCAAGTGTTCCACTCCAAAGGGCTACCCGAAAACTGACCTGAGAGGACCCTGAAAACCACTGCAGCGGCAGCGACCGAAAAAAAGCAGTCTGATGATTCGGGTGCCAACACCTGGGCGCCATGTGAGTTTTCGGGAGTGGATGTTGCAGCGCATTCAATGTGAGTTCACGTTGGACTGACGTTGGATGGGAGCAGAAAGGCAGCCAAGTGTAACATGACGAATCGTGGACCATGAAGCCGACACGACACGAAATCAGATCAAATATCCTATACCAGGACCCTCCATTTGGGGTGTCTATTTGTAGGCCGTTAGGTGTGATTCGGGGTGTCCATCTAGCACCCCGACTGGGGGTCCTGGTACAATATATCAGCCCATATTGATGATGAGCCAACAAAAAACGGACAAGACACACTCCGACAGTATTCAGATGGAAGAAGAGCATAGTATGTAAACAAAAGCACATCGGCCAAAAGATCTTGCCACTCATGATGATCACTGGTGTGACAGGTCTAAACCTGCTGGAAATATGACGTCTGACTTTCCCTAGGTGGATAACGTCTGAAGCAAACAGTCGTCCGGGTCGGTCCTTTTCCTTCAAAAGAGCATCTGTCATGCCTATTCGAGCCCCCAGCAAGACATTTTGGGGGGGGCTCCAAAGGTTTTACTTGTTTTTTCGACCTCACAAAGCACTGTTTCGCTCGCTCCCACACCCGAACGGTTCCGAAGAAGCGGAGGATGGATGCTTGTCTTCGCCGCACCTGTTGGATCCAGCGCCGTTTGGCTTCATTCACCAACTCCTCAGCTGCCAGGAAGGCCTGGCTTTGAGGGTAACGCAGCACCAGGTCGACGGCCTCCTGCGCGCGCACGCACCGGCGTTGCGGTTGCCAAAGCGCGTTGCTTTTTGCGCTGCTCGCGGCCGGGGATGGTGTCCATGGGGTGCAATAGGTGTAACATGAACAGTCTGAATAGTGAACCTGGGTCTCCAGAAACAAAATGGGGTGTTGTACATATGGCTCTTTTGTTCTAAGGTCGCGTCTCTGAGCCATAGCCAACTTGTGGAGCACCTGCTCCTGCTCGTGCTCTGTGTGTATCTCATAATTCCATCCATAATCCCACTAGATTACATTGCATCCCATTGTTTTGGTTGCCGATGCTCAGAAACTTCCCTCCTTCTGTCCATTTCTGCCTGGAAAGCCTTCTTTCAGTCGGCCGCCCGCATCGATGCAGCTCGTCGATGCGTCCGTCTCCCCCGTGTCAACCGCCCTGAACAGGAAGGGACATGACCCTGCAGGGTGCTCGGACTCCCAAGAGGCTGTTTTGGGTGGGTTTTTTGTTGGGAGGCGCGGCACCAGACACTTGCTTCATTTTGGGGGTCGTCTGAGGCCTCCACATAGACCTCCACACAGGCCTCCACTGTCACATACTCACGTCCACAGGTTTCCCCTCCCCCCCACGGACCGTGGCGTGGGATCGCGGTGCGGGACTCTCCTGGGGTCTCATAAACTCCCAGATGCCATCGCTGCAAAGGAGCAAGACTTGATCATTGGGGCCCAACTGAGGCAGATGTTCTCGGCGTCGAACCCAGGAAAAACGAAGCTTCGTTGCGTCTATTGGGAACTAAGAAGGATGATTTCGATCTAAAATTGGGTCCCGGACCCAGACACTCCATGGAACCATATGTTTTTTGCCAATCATTGACTCCCCAAATCAACCGGCTGCCTGATTGGCCGCCTATGGCAGTCCCAAACAGATCGTGTCATGTCGTGTTTCACTCATCGAAGTTCCAATGCTTTCGGGCCCGGATTGCATTGCGCAATCGGTTCAGGTTGATGGTCCGGACCCCTGCGTGAAACGGTGGAGAAGGTGCCCCTGCCATGGAGGGCCCATACGGATTCTTAGGGTATAAGTGATTTCTGAATCTTTGTCGATCCGGCAGAAAGAAATCATCCTGTCCATGGTGCGCGGATTCGGGAAGATGGTAGATCATTGGGTCGGCGGACATCTCCTTGTTGCAGAAGGATGCTGTGATATGCTGTGAATCCCTATCCCAGACACAATTCTTGTACAAGTGTTGAGACTGGCATATCATACATTGACCTGGTTTCAGGGGTCAATGTAGGTACACATATTCTAGCTCCAAGGAGTGTCTGGGTATGATCGGGTTGCTTTTCAACTCAAGTGTGCCGATTGCTCGAAGGTGATCCAAAACCACCGCAGCCATTGATTCGTTCGGACCATGGTTTCAGCTCTCTCTGAACAGGCTGGGACAGTATTCCACCTGGCAACTGCATAGCCTCCTAATTAATGTAGACTCTTGATTAATGAGCCCCTCCATATACATGAAGAGTGTGAAAAAACTCCCAATGGGGTGTTATTAAATCAAGTCTAGGTACTTGACTATCAGGGTCTGGAAATCACTGGAAATCGCAGCACATTATGTGATTGCGACACTACTTGCGACACTCGACTACTTGTCGCAGCGAAGGGGGATCTCAAAACCACCGTTGGCGGAAAAGCAGTGTCCGCTACCGCCGATGCTTCTTAGCCTGAAACACGATCCAGAGTTCTTAGGAAACCTAATTATTGAACAAAACCCTCAGCACCAAAAGTTCCAAATGAAATCAGCCCCTAGAAACCCCACGAATGTCCACCCCCGCGCACCCTCTCACCATACCTCACCGCCACAGCGTCCTCCCTCATCCACGCGAGCACCGCGCGAGCACGGCGCGCTCTGTTCGGCCTGGTACTCTCGACACTCGGGGTCGGCGATGAGGCCCGTCTCGCGATGCGCTTCCAGGTCGCCCAGGGAGCGGGTCATGTTCAAGCCGGCGCCATAGCCATCCTGCGGAACGTAGGAGAGAAAGCAGAGGTGAACAAGTGACTCAAGAGGGGGGGAAAAGCCGGGCAACGGTTTGAACGGTTTGGGATGGCTGGATGAAAATGAGTTCATTTGGTGATACTTGTATAATACTGAGATACTGTGTGATACCGTGATACCACCTTGATGAACTATTTCAGGAGCCAAGTCAAAAAAGAAACATTAACAGGAACCATGTAAAGCCACACCCCCAACCTGCAAGCCTTGGTCGATTCCATCTTAAGCGGCTATTCACCCGCCTTCATTCCATCCCTAACGCTTCCACACTCGTCTTTCCCCCCCTTCCAAAACCATGCCATGCTCGCCCCATGTTTCACCAGAACGAGCCCATGTCGCAAAGAAGCGAACCGAGCCGGGTCGAAGACGCGAGGAACAGCGCGAGCGAGAAGAACAGCGAGGTGCGTCGGTCTGTTTTTTTTTCCTTGTTGTAGATGCGGTAGTCGGAGAAGCCATCGAAGTCAATGAGACCTCCCGACGCGATGATCCTCGCCATCTCATCCTTCAGCTCCGGCTTGTGATCGCGCGTCAGCTGTGTGGCTGTGACCTCTTTTCCTTCGAGGCCTCAGTCGTTGGGAAGAGATCTTTAAAAGACCAAGGCCATTGAAAAGATGCCACGAATTATATGTAAACCATGAAACACAAAAAGGATCAACAAGGAATCAAGACGACTCGAACTGGTGGACATTGGGTAAACTTGCGAATTGCTTCGACCACGGGAGGACCCGCAGGGGGACACTTGCTACCATGACCAAAACCATCCAAGACCTCCATGGTGGGTAGCCATACCATACCCTTCTGAGGCCAAAACAAAATCGGAACAAACGGAACATATCGGTGGATGCTGTTGACTCAGCATTCAATTGAATCGCCCCCCCAACAAAAATCAAAAAGCTAAGCTTGTAGTGATGACTTCCCTTCAACTTTCAGGTGCGAAATAGCACCCAGCCGCCAGCCTATGGATCTTGGCATTGTCTTTGTCTCGAATGAAGTGCGGTCTGTACATGACTTCGACCGACCCAGTCCTCTGACTGATCTCCGGAAAGTTTAGATGGTTTCTCATATCCTCTTGAAACATCTTGAAACCAAAGTATTGTAGACTCTTGATGAACCAAAAATTGTACAACCATGTATATAACACCTCTTCAGGCTGGGTCTTGTTCATCAAGAACCTAGAGTCTACATGTATTTTATGGTTGATTCAATTATATTGTTCAAGAACCAAGAGTCTTGTTCATCATGTTGATCCATGTTGAAATGTTCACTCCCCAGCCGTGAGACCCATCACTGACTCCTAGCCACCGCCCACCACCACGCTACTGTCTCCCACGTGCGCCAAATAGAGCCGGCCGTTGGGCGCATGCAAGACCGCTGAGCCGGTACAACCGGACCATCGGGCGTTGAGCTTGTCGTAGGCATCGCTGGTATCGATGAGTTGATGGAGCCAGCGGAAGGCTCCGGTGAAGGTCTCCTTGAGAGAGCCTTTGAGGTGAAGTCATTCAAAGCACTGGAAACGGTGAAGATTTTCCTTCCCTATTGGAGACACTTCAATAGTCTGAACCTTGCACCGGCATGAGCTACTGATGCTTGTGATGTCAACAATATGACATGCATTATTTGCATTTCAAGTTCATCTAATTCACCTGACCAAACCCGTGAAAAACTTCTCCACGTCGCACACGCCACACGCCGAGATCGGTTTGCCAGAGGTCATTTTCCTAGATACGGGTTTCTTTGTATTCACTCCTCTGATTCCTGAAGACCTCGTCGACCAGGACCATGTCTTATACTCCGGTCCAGGACCATCCGTTGCTCGGATGTCCTTCATTCAACTCCAACCCTCCGACCCTGAGTAGAAGTACCTCCAAAAGACAAGACTCTAAAGATCCTCCGAAACAGGAAGCACGTTTCTATCATCCTGGACCCTATGGGAGACTTTCTTTGGGTTCTGGCACCTGGCTGGACTCCGGGCCCATCTTCTTCTTCGCTTTTCCAAATGACTTTAGACCCCAATGACACATGAATTTCACGAGACACTGCTTCCCATTGGACTTCGGTTACGACGAGCTGGCTTCAACATGTTCGGAGACACCAGTCTTCAGTTGCAAGTTCTCCAGCTCAGGCCTTGTGCCCTCACCTTGTGCCAATTTCCAAGAGGTGCTCCAAAAAAAAAAACACCAGAACGCAGCGTGGTGGGGCCGCGTGGGGCGGCTTTCCGCCCTCCCAAACCTTCCGCCGTTCACTCCGAGGCGCCAAAGGTCCAGAGCCTCGAATCCGCCGCCAGCAGCCGCGGCAGCACGTTCTTGGCGAAGTTCGCCACGTCGTGGCCTCGACCGCGCGGGTTCCGCCGAGCGGAGCCGGAGGGAGAGGCCCCGGAGCCCAGAACGGTTGGAGCCGGAGGCCGAGTGGAGGCCGAGAGGCCGTGGGGTCCGTGGCCATCGAAGATGGTGTAGAGGGAGAGGTCTTGTTCCACGCGAAGCACCGACCAAGCGTCCTGGCGAGAGGAAGGTTCCGGAACGTCGAGTGGAGTCTCCTTGCAAGTTGTTGGAGTGGTGTGAAGTGAGGTGGAGAAGTGTGGAGGGAGGATGATCTGAGCAAGAGGAACCAGAGTGAATGGATGAGGAGTGAAGTGGCGTTCCTTTTCTTGCAAGCAACATGTACGTCGCACAAAGTCGTGATGCTTCATATCATTTCTTCAGTATGCTATGGATTCAGCTACTCGCCCACTAGAGCAGCACACAGCTGCCGTGGTCCACTAACACAAACCATGGACCAAAGGTTCCAAGAACAATATCGGCCTATTCAGAATATTCAACAAAAGGATACAAACGGTATGTACAGCAAGCACTCATTGATTGACTTATTGACCGGCAAATCAAACATGGCTACAGATTCGTCATCCCTTTGGAGCAACTTGAGGTAGAGCAACCAATCTCAGCCGCTTTAGCCACACCTCATCCCCATCCGGATCAACAGCTACACCTGCAGCCTGTGGCCGCAGGCTGCGTTCGACGCGTTCGACGAACGGATGGGTCCTGGTTAGGACTTCCCGGCTTCAGGCCCTTGTGGCACACAGCCGTGAAGGGTGCCTCGCAAGTCTCCAAAAACTATTCGAGCAAATGAGCAGTGGATCTTGCAGAGGTTGAGAATTCGCTTGCTAAGCGCACTGCAAGAGCTTCAAAAGCATTTGAAGCACGACATGCTTCATTGTTCAAGACTTGAAGTGTAGGTGCCTCACCGTCCCTGTACAAACTCATGTTCGTTCTATCGCTCGTCCAACCTGCAACGATGTTGAAACTAACAAAACACCACCCATCCCCTGAGAGCTCTATATATATATATATCCAGTATATTCCCCACAAAAAAACGATGAACACGGACAGAAGACAAAACAAAACCAAACAACAACAAACATGACGCACCGTATATGTATATATATATATTTATGTATGTATGTATGTTAATTGACATATGTTGACTCTTGTTGACCCCGTGTGCATGAGACTCCTTCAAAACAAAACTCCGCTTCGCAGAGGCCCCACCACCCGAGCCACCTCCAGTTGCTCCAACGCGTCGCCCCAGTGTTCCTTCGGCTTCACCGTCCTCGTCTCGCGCGGATCGCGCGTCCAGACCTGGGCGCCGCGCTCACGATGGGCACGAAGAAGCAGGCGCCCGCGGGTGCAGTGGGAGTCATCGTTTGGGGGAGGGAAAAAGGGAGCCTTTCTCAATTCGGAGCCTAAGTGGAAAGTAAAGGAATCATGAGTCGGGGTTACTTCATAGAAAGTCATGTGAAGTCCGTCATTTTTATGTTCGCCTCTCAAAAGGTTCCTTTCGTTTTTGGCAGGGGTCGACCTGGACCGACCTGGACCCGGTCAGCGACCGGACCGCGAACATGGGACGGGACCGGTCAAAAAGCGGCCCTAAGTCCGGTACTTGATATCAGTGGATAGTAAGAGAGACGACGGTGCCTTCCAAAAGTGATATATAAAAGAAGGACAAGCGGTGCTGGACATGTGCTGGACTAGTACTTGTAACCCTTCCAAAACCCCCCGCAGTACGAGGTCGCTTCCACCCAGCGGCTTCGGATCTTCCGGCGATACCGGGAGGGTACCAGGGGTGATTGGAGCTTGAAGTGACACTCAAATCACCCAGGCCATCCAGGGGACTGGCATATCTACCTACATTCGGCTGGTTCACCTGGGGTCTCTATATTATCATATATATCATCAAATATGCCATACATGGATGGTCTGGCTGATATAAAAACATTTGAATCAAAAGTTCGGGAGGTTGAGCACTTCACTAAAGGCACCATCGCTAGTAGGTTGGAGGCCATTGCTCCTGGAGGCCATCGCTATATAGTAGGAGGCCATCTCTACTAGGTTGGAGGCCATCGCCGCTAGTAGGTTGGAGGCCGCTAGTAGGTTGGAGGCCATCGCTCCTAGGTTGGAGGCCATCGCTATTGCAAACAAAGAAAAAAAGAATAAGGAAGAAAGATGAAGAAAGAACACTATCACATCTCCAGGTCACATCTCCATCGTTCCACACCAGACTATCATCGATGAGCCGTGCCCGTCGGCGCTCTCCGCCCACGTCAATGGAAAAGCTGTTAAGGCCTCGGCTCTGCCGGACTGTGCGTGGGCACAACCCGGACGGACGGACTGTGGAGAGAAAGAAATGAGTCGGGCAATTCTGAGGATGCAAAAGATGGGTGACTTGAGCAGTAGTTTGTAGGGCCCACCCATGTGGCCTGGGCCCACCCACCGTACCACCCACCTTACCACAGGGTATGGTACATAGTAGTTGGCCCACGGCTGATAGACGGCCGTGGTGTTTTCTTGCAATTTTATTGATTTTTCGTTTTCTACGCTGTCGTTTTTGCATGTTTGCTTGAGGGGGATGTGGATGCTACGTGTGGGAATGGGGTGGGGGGTGGGGTGGGGTGGGGCATGTTAACGTTCGGTTGCACTTGCTGCATGAAGTTGATGCTGCGTTCAGTTGCTGCGCCAAAGCTTGACCTATGCTACACCGGCTCAGTTCTTGCGCCGCTTGGAGGAGCTCTTGTGAAGACTGAAAAAGTCGCAACTTTTTCCGACGGCCCAATTAGTTACGTAGTTTCGAAAATGCTTCGAAATCAGCATTTCGCCTCAGCGAAACTCTCATTTCAGGCAAATCTGCTTGGAATTGACCATGATTCCACTGATGAAACGTTGGGCACATCATTCCTAATGGAATTACGCACATTTCGACATGATTAACCCACGACCATCATTGATTTACACCACGGACCGTGTACCTAGTAGTTCGTAGGGCGTCCGTTTACTCCGAACATGAGTGAACATGTCATTCAAAAACCCAACAACCCCAGGGCTCCAAGTCCAACAAACCTCCAGTTCGTGTCGTCGGTTGTCGTCAGAGCCTCATCAATTCTCGACATGAAAGGTCAAGAAATGTCCAGAATCTATTGGAACAAACGGCATTGCTACGAACGGAGCGATCGGACGCTACTAAGAACAAAGGGCATCGCTACTAAGTGTAGTATTGAATCCTATTGACATCTGCCCTCCCACAGAGGCGAACATGGACCGTGAGAATGGCCCCCAACACATGGGGATGGTGTTCCTCCACGTGTTCACGTGGTGACCTCAGGGTCCATGGGATCGTATTCCAGGGGGTCTTGACTATCGTAGCTCCCTTTTTTCTCCTCTTTCTCATTCTCCCTTACATCCCCCAACTCTTTCACGTCCGTGGCGCCTTCCCAAACCAGGGTGGTGCTCAAGCCAGCACCATATTGCACATGCTCACCATCAATGAGCTTTTGCCCAGCGTAGCCTCGGGAGATCCAGCGCCCATCCACATTCGAACTGCTACTGCTGACGATCATCATCCTGGCAACAAGCGGGAGAAGGAGCAGCCACCCTGACAACCCTCCCTACATGTAGGCCACGGGCCCTGAAGCTCGCCCAAGTGACTTCATCATCATCACCGTCATGAATCTCTTTGATGTTCTGGACCAGAACCAGCTGGGCGTTCCGTTCCACTACCTCCAAGTTCCATCCCTTCGTTCCGCCTGTTGCATGACATGCATGACATGAAGCTCCATCTTCCTCGTCATATGCTCCCTATGTCCCTTTCCTTCGCCCCGCGGCGTCACACGTCACGTCCTGCTCTTGGAAGTGGGTCGGCCGAGCTGTTGCAGAGACTTGTCGAGGGTCTCCAGAGGCGTCTCCTTTTCCATGTCCTCCAAATATTCCAAGCCTCTAGCATCGATGTCACAGGAAATCCTCAGCGAAGCGGAGGCGCCGGCGTCATCGCCCCACGTTCAGAGCGCCGCGATGACTTCGTCAGCCCGGTGGAGTCATCGCCCCACGCTCAGCTGTTCCGTTCCCAATGGAACGACCAGGTGAGGCTGTGCATCGGAGACATATACAAGATGATGTGCTTTAATACGATTAAACACATGCTATCAAATTGCTGCATTGGAAACATTTGGAAACAAAAACAAGGGCGCCTTCTATCCATCAAAGTTCGGATGGTTTTTCTACCAACCATTATATAACATCAGAAATAACCATGTTCTATACACCCTGCTTGGGATGGGATGGGAACGTCTTACCGAGCTCGATCGAGCTGTTTGCTCCGGAGTTCCTAACAGTTGACGGCGGAACACGCTGCCCTTTAAGGCTGTAAACCTGGCCTTGAAGTCATCAAGGTGACAAAAAAAGGCCTTGAAGTGAGTAGCTAAACAAGGCGAAACACCTGGCCTTGAAGTGCCATGTTAAGCTATTATACGTACTGCTTATTATATAGTGTTGAAAATGTTGGGAAACCGGGAAACTGGACGCAACATGTGTGTTCTTTTTGACAACACCCAAATAGGTTGTTTTTGATGCCTGATTCTATTTTTGTACGAGCCTCCGTGTATCTATTGATTCCGTCATGATCATCCAACCATCCAACCGGAGAGAGAAAAAACAACGGCAAAAGCAATACAGGTGCCTTTTCCAGGTCCACCAAATCCCACATCATCTCAGCATCTCACCACTTCCCCCACTCCAAAGCCCAGACCACAAATTGAAAAAAAAGAAAGGAGAAGCCAAGACTCCATCCGTCTCCTGTGTCCACTCCATCAACGTAGTCGTTCCAATAAGCGATATGCTCATCATCTCGGTCTTCTATGTTCTTTGACAATCGAAAACACACGCCATGAGCACGGTCATTCAGCTTGCTGTTGTCGATTCGGTATCTGTTACCACCCATCTTCACCAACACGCAGGCGCCTGAAGCGACGTTCCACATTGAACAAACTGCACGCAGTTTAGCTATATGTGCCGTTTTTTGTTGAATCGATTCAATCTGCATTAAAGATTTAAATGTTATTTAGCAGCTTAGCAGAAACGGCTTGGATCGTCATTTCTATAGCGCTTGAACTTCTTCCTCCTTCAAACAGCATCTTCGACCATCCTACCCTCTCTGGCCGACAGCCTGAACCCACCCCCTACCTGAGTTCTCCACAGGTCTCAACTATCGGTGTTGGTTAGACCCAGTCAGCACAGAGCTGTCAAACACCCTAACTTATGCTCCCTTTGTAGGACTCGTAACACAACGAGATTTCTGATCACTCATCCTCTGCAAAAAATAGAGTTTGAGTAGAGACATGAGCCAAACTAAGTAGCAATACATTAATGATTATACATATAATATCAATTCAGGTTGGATTTCAGCTTGTTGACACTCGAAATGCTGGCCTCTGATCTCTAACGGCAAATAGCGCACGCGGTTTTCCATCAACTTCGTCATGTGAGGTCCCTTCCGCAGCACCTTGGAATACCTCAAACAGTCCCAACTGGGTGCCGTGGATGTTGTGCTAACAAACCGTGTGTTGGCGCAACCCGTTGCCCCGTTGGAAGCAAAGGGATATACAAAATGATATATTCAGCTCGTGTTAGAACCCTCGGATGGATTTTTGGCATGAAGGGCGGGACAGGGTGTTCCGGTGTTCCTCCCGTACGAACCGTCCGTGTCTCCAAAAAGAGTCACCGGATCGTTTCATCCTCCAACCCACACTATGGACCCAACACGTTTGTCCCCAGCAGGTCCTGAAGGACCAAGGGCAAACCACTTAAAGGTGTTGATGCTTCTTCCGAAGAAGTAGAGGCTCCCCAAGTTCGGCGAAGCCATGCCAACGACGCTTCAAGAGCTAGGCCTGATAATCTCCATCACCCGGGGAATTTGTGGGCCCTTCGCCCCTTCGAGTCTTGAAACGTCTTGAGGAGACACCTAGATAGTCATTGCAACTCTCCTTTATGCCCGAAAGCTGTTACGAACCCACAGCGCGCGGGCGAGACACTGTGACTGACCCACAATGTCGTGGAGAGACGTTGGGATTTCGTGAAGAGACTGAGACTTTCACCAGGTGAAACATCGAGATACTATGAGTTACTTCCAAAACCAATTCACCCCGCCAAGGGTTGCACTGCGCCTCTTTGCACCTCGCCAAGGCTTGAATCACGAGATACACTCCTTGAAACAAATCCCTTTCAAGTGGAGCGAGTGAGTGAGTGAGTGAAAACCACCTGCTTGGTAATCGAGAAAAAGAAAAGAACTCATGGTCATCCGACATCGGGGCGCTGCGTTTGCACTCTCCACGTGAACATCGTGAGGACGTGAACACCGGTCGGAGTCAAGCATGGAAGGAACAACTGTGGTGGGAGAGTGTGAAGAGTATAGATGAATTCATGGTTGTTCAGTCAGAACTCACTAAATCAATGGTGGGGGCCAGGAATCCTGAGGTATCTTGTACAGAACCTATATAGAACCTCTTTGTGATTTGGCACCACACCAAATAATGGATGTGATGATATCATATTAGGTCCCAACATCCTTTTGCATCAAAACAGGGGTCCTTCATCCTGCGCTCAAGGATATTATTGGGTACTTTCAACCCCATTTCGCCACCCCCCTCCGACTGGCTCGTCCACCTTCATTCTTGGCTCGTCCGAGTGTCCACCGACTGGCCGCCTTCTGCTCTTCATGCGCCCGTCCCGCCGTGCAGCCCATCGGGTCGGGTGCAGCACGAAGAGAAGGCCGTTGGACGGAAGCGGCGGTGGGGGCGGAAGCGGCGGCGGTTGGGGCGGCCCGGAGCCGGAAGAGCTTGGCGTAGAGAGATCATCGGTGATCATGTAGGGTGGCGTCTGGGTGTTTTTCTCGTGTCTAGTGTAGGTCATTGACGGCTCAAAAAGCGAAAGAACACCGTTTTGCAACATATTAAAATGAAGATCGACATGTGCAACATGTCCTGGCCTAGAGACCTCCGCATATCGATGTAAATGATCGTAAGCCAGAAAAGGAAAGCTATCTGCCTCTAGATCATTGCCTATCTGCCTCTTCTGCGCTACAAAGAACCTCCACCGATCGTGCGTCCATCCGCTGGTCACCTCCGAGGTGCTAGGGAGTGACTGCCGTGACTGCACCGGCGACGCGCTCTCGCTCCGCGCTCCGCTGCCTGCCTCGGCTCCCATGGACCGTTCTCGGACCTGGCCGGGTGAGATGGTCCGAAAAAAGGCACCAGCAAAATGAGCCAACCAGCACCAGCTTCGTGAGGGTTTGTGAGCCCAAAAAGCTGGCAAATCAAAAGGTCACCAGCAAAACACACAATTACTTTACTTCGAGTGATCCCCACCATGACATTTCAATCATTTGTCTTGATGCCATAGTGAGGAGCATGTTGCCACGACCATCCTCAAAAAACACCACCCAGCAAAACCGCCATGGTCAGATGGTGCTTGCCGGGGAGTCGAGTCTTGTGTTGTTCATTGTCTTTGCTTCGATGGGTATTTGGGGGGGCCACCCAAGAAACAAAGTGATTGAAACAACTGAGAACCAGATGGGTGGGAGAGTTTCAACCGGTAAATCCAGTTGTTTCGGGCTGGTACCCGCCTTCCTCTGCTCCTTGAGGACTTGCAACTGGGTCGCCACCTCGCTAGTAATTTGAGCGAGAAAGGTGGATAAAACAAATGGAACTGGAACTGCAACAAATGCACAAATAATTTGGGGAGGGTGATGGCTTTTCCTTGGCTGAAAACACACTGACACTCAGTCATTGCTGCTTCGGCAGAAAGAAACAAGACCAGAAACCTGCTTTTGCGCACTCGCCTGGCTCGGATGTTCAACCAGCTCGCCGGCGTGTGGTCTGTGGTCAGTTGTTGAAAAAACCGTTGGGCGCTGGACGGAGCCATCTCACTCGAACGCTGGACGGGTGTTCAAAAAGATTCCAAAAAGTGTTGCAAAAGGGCTGTGTATTTCATAAGGAGACTCCCCTGGCCCTGTAGACTGGTATACACACCCGGGCCGAAGTGGGAGGTCTCCCGAAACACACCGTGCCAAGCTTCACCTTGCTGTCCTGAGTGGTCCAATTTAGTTCTCTGCAGCTGTGGCAGCTGACAAAGCAACCGGTGGCCACCCAAGTGGGCATAAAAAGAGTGCTTGGAATAGATAGGGAAAGTTTCATCCCCAGCTCTTTGAAAAGCCTCGTGAAAAGGCAAAAAAAAAGTGGAAGCTCTTAGCTCAGCCTTCTGCTGTACTGCTGCCCTTCTGTGCAATATGAGCTCACTGCACTTTCAAACGTTGTCATCGAATGCGGTCCACTCATTCCTTCAGAATGAAATGGTCCCGAATCCTCTCCAGTGCAGCATCCAGACTCTCCGACAGGTTCACCTTCTCAAGTTCGCTCTGACTGGAGATCTTGTGTTGCACTAAGCCAATCAACTTGGAAAGGTTCATTCGAGCCAAGACCCTTGACACGTTCCGCCCCTCTCGAAGAGGAAAGACTGGCAAGTTGGCATCCGCTGCCTCAGTCTCTAAAAGAAAAAGAAGTTCTGAAGCGTCGACGGTCATCTCTTGAATCCGTTGTCGGACGAAAGGCAGGGTGAGAACCACCAGCTCCTTGTAGCTGATATGTTGCATCAGCACCCTTTGCTTCTTGTCCAACTTCACCTGCTTCTCATCATGGGAGAGGTGGCAGTAAGTACAAGCACTTCCATTGCGGCAAAGCCCGGCCTGGAAGTACATGCAAGGACGGTGGCATACATCTGGATGCCCCAAACTGCCGAAGCTTGGGATACTATCAAGCTGCATTTGCTCTGGAGGCATGCACATCACACCACTCACGCTTTGCCACTTTTGTTGAAGCTTCTTCGAGAGTGCCTGAACATACAAAAACTTGTCCTCTTCGTTTTTGTTAGCACCCCAGGGAGCCACTCGGTCCATGACAGGAGCACTGCTGGCACGACGTAGAATAGGAGCCACTGGCTCTACATCGATGAAGCTGTTGTGGTAGCGGAGGCTTAGCACATGGGCCATGATGCTGGCTACGTGGTGGAGCCGTTCTTCAGTGAATTTGAGCTCGCAAATGGCTACGTTTGAAAGATAAACTCTTGCAAGATGATCCTGTTGGCCCTCGAAACAAACAAAACTGAAAACGCAACACGACGGAAATCAAGTGTCAAAACCGTTTCTATGTCTCAAAAGGCCACATCACCTCGGCTGTGTGCCTTCAACAGCTCTGTGCCTTCTCAGCTCAGCTGATTCAACTCTCCGCCTTTTGCAACGCCGAGCCACGAAGGGTCGGCCTTCTTTCCCTTTTTGGATGTCCCAAAAGGGAAAGCGCCCTCAAGCCAAGCCTTGAAGACTGATAAACGACTAAGGGTCTTCAAAACATCAAGCCATCTTCCTGCCCTGAGTGGTCCAACTCGTGCTAACAAGAACCATACACAGTTTAGCCACGGCTGAAGATCTACGTTCTGCTCAGCGCAACTCTGCTTCGCAGCCACAGGTGGCCAGCCAAGTGGACATAGGAAGGGTGCTTTGGAATGGATAGGGCTAGGGAAAGTTTCATCCCCAGCTAGTTGAAATGCCTTATGAAAAGGCAACAAAAATAAAAGTGAAAGCTCTTGGCTCAGCCTTCTGCCGTACTGCTGTGAGCTCACTGCACTTTCAAACGTTGTCATCGAATGCGGTCCACTCATTCCTTCAGAATGAAATGGTTGCGAATACTCTCCAGTGCAACATCCAGGCTCTCCGACAGGTTTGCCTTCTCAGGATCACTCTGACTGGAGATCTTGTGTTGCACTAAGCCGATCAGCCTGGAAAGGTTCATTCGAGCCAAGACCCTTGACAGGTTCCGCCCCTCTCGAAGGGGAACGACTGGCAAGTTGGCATCCGCTGCCTCAGTCTCTAAAAGAAAAAGAAGTTCTGAAGCGTCGACGGTCATCTCTTGAATCCGTTGTCGGACGAAAGGCAGGGTGAGAACCACTAGCTCCTTGTAGCTGATATGTTGCATCAGCACCCTTTGCTTCTTGTCCAACTTCACCTGCTTCTCATCATGGGAGAGGTGGCAGTAGGTACAAGCACTTCCATTGCGGCAAAGCCCGGCCTGGAAGTACATGCAAGGACGGTGGCATACATCTGGATGCCCCAAACTGCCGAAGCTTGGGATACTATCAAGCTGCATTTGCTCTGGAGGCATGCACATCACACCACTCACGCTTTGCCACTTTTGTTGAAGCTTCTTCGAGAGTGCCTGAACATACAAAAACTGGTCCTCTTCGTTTTTGTTAGCACCCCAGGGAGCCACTCGGTCCATGACAGGAGCACTGCTGGCACGACGCAGAAGAGGAGCCACTGGCTCCTCTACATCGATGAAGCTGTTGTGGTAGCGGAGGCTTAGCACATGGGCCATGATGCTGTCTACGTGGTGGAGTCGTTCGTTTCGGTGTCTTGCTCTTCCGGCTTGAAAGGACAAAGGCTACTGCGCCGCGGAGGTGTTACAAGTCATGTCACGTCGACGAGTGGAGATGCATGGTGATGCGGGAAAAAAATAGTAATACTATAATAATAATAGTAATTGTTTAAACAAAGGGTAATCATGCAAACTTTGCCACACAAGTTGCAGACACTTGCTCACTTGTGTGATGTCCAAAACCAAAAAGACCAACAGACCGCCCATCCAGACACGAAGCAGTTTCAAGAACGCCCTCAACCGGCCTACACCGCTACTCGTCTATACCCACACGTCTCAACATGCGTCCACCACCCGAGGGTTGCGGCCTTGGCATGTGCCGTGGTGAGCTGCTGAAAGAGCTTCTCGGGCACCATGGGTTCGCCCAAGCGACCCGGCCCTCGGACGATCTCCAACTCCCGTTGGAGCAGCAGAACCCGGTTCTGCAAGCGATTCACCTGGCAGCTGGAGAGGGTTGGTGGGGCCCTCGAGGGGTCTGAAGAGGGCCAGAGATGTTGGGTGAGAAGGAAGGGCATATCGGGCCATATCGGTTGGCTGGGTTGGCTGAGTGCAGTGACGCGGTGCGGTTGGGTGCAGATTGGAGTGATGTCCAACAAAAAAGGATCAAAGCCTGGGCTTGCTGAAAAAGGAGTAGAACATGTCTTACTTAAAGTGCTGCTATCTGTTTTGAGTGCAGATATTCTGGAGAATGAGTAAAAGCGATGCCCACAACGGCCCACAAGCCGTCAACTCCTTGTCCTTGCAAGATCTAGACTAGAATCTAGAACAGCCATGCAAGATATTATTGGTACCTCCATGCACTGATGAATGTCATATTGATACATGGTCCATTCTATCATACCTCTGCCATCATCCGAAGGGCATCTTTTCAAGCTGCTCGGGCGGCTCGAAGCTCCTCGTTTGCTTTCGGGGCGTCCCCTTGAGCTCCTTGTTGCAGGAACAGAAAGAGTGGCTCGGTGGCAGCGTGTGTGGTAGAGGGATGACTTTGATGACCAGCACTCACCTCGACAACTTCTCCAACACCTAAGAAGGTTCCAGCAGGCAGCGGACTGGCACGGAAGTTCCTGCCTACCTGCTGCAAGGTGGAGACCACCTCAGGTTCAGCGGGGGCAAAGGCCTCTGGTGTTTTCTTGGCAAAATCCAAGAGCACCTTTCGCAGGGCGGACTCCGCGGGCGTTGGAGCTTCCTTCTCCTCGGGGATCTTCTCTTCCAAGAAACCCCCTGGAGGCCAAGCGTCCGTGAAGGCCAAGGCGGAAATCCGAGCTCGGGCGCTGGCGAACACTTTCAAGAGGTGCACGATCAGAGGCGCACCATAGGAGTGTGCCACCACCAAGACATTTGAAGCTTGGGCAGACTCCATGTATGACTTCCAAAGAGTGGCCAGGTGTTGATGAGGACTTTCAGAGCCAGTGATTGGAATCCCATGAATCTCGTTGATGTTTGGGTTGGCGACCACCACCGCCCAGCCCAAGGCCTCTGCCCGGAAGATGTAATCAAACATCGCGCCCTCATGCAGCGTGGCATTGATGCATAAGCTTCGACCCCAAACCCCAGCCGCACCACCTGGGGCGGAACCACACACCAAGAGTAGCAACGGACCAGGATGTTCCTGAAAGTTCTGCGTGGCGTAGATCACTGAGTTCGCCTCCCCGGCTGTGGGAGGTAAGGGAAAGGGTAGAAGTTCACAGAGCGAGACCAGCTGCTGCTGCACGAAGGACCTCAGCTTATGTAGCTTCTATAAGTGCATCTTAAAGGTATAGAACAAGTGAGGCAACGCGAAAACTGAGTTGATCTGGTGAATTGCACATGCAAGGCAAAGCGCCGACACCGAAAGATCACGCTACTTTTTTCCGAACAAAGCTTTCATTGTCATAGGCGGCATAGTCTACTTCTCTATAGGGGGAATGTTCACCTCTTGCCCTGAAATGTGATGAAATGTTCTCATTCAGGTCCCCATGCCGGCAATGCCGGAGAAACTCAGAAGACAGATCTCTAGCAGCTCTCATTCATCACACTTCCTCCCTCCACATCCGCACTCGTGCCGGTCGGTCCTGGTGCAGGTCCTGAGCACCCGAACACCACGGCGTTGGCCACTTCATTGTAGTTGCCTTGATCCTGCACCGGCTGCCGTCCGGCTCGAAGGTCTGTTTTGGGTTCATCCAAAGGACCTCTGAGATCGTTCAAATCACCGATATCGTTCTCAAAAGAAGAAGCGAGGTGCTTTGGAGAAATCACTCCAGTGGTCATTAGGTGTTTCAGAAATCACACAAAAATGATAGAAATCACTCCAAGAAAATCAAACCATCTCCCCCAAATGTCGTCGACTGCTTCACCGAGAAGATTGGAGTCTCTTAGAGTGTCGAGTCGTCATATACTTGGCTTCTTTTGCTCTTTTAAAAGCCATGTTAAACAGTCTGCGGTGGAAGATGTAAAAATAAAGTAAAAAAAAACGCAGCAACGCAGCACCTATAGGTAGGGCGGATGGACACATCAAAACACTCTTAGATGGCTCCATGTCGATCTTCCACCTTCTTCAACCACGAAGTCACTGTTTCCACACGTCACACAGGTCACTCAGGACCCCATCCCTTAGACCACTGGTCATCGCCTTGAACTCAAAGCCCTTCTGGTCATCGCCTCGCTGCCGTAGCACCCAATCGCTCTTCTTCCCACTGGGACCAGGCCTGGGGAGGTCGGCAGCGAGGGAAGTCGAAGTAAGTCTCCGGAGCTCTTCGCGCTTTGTCTCAGGGGAACTCGGAGCCCTCAGCGCCGAAGTCAGGATGGCCTATGATCCCTCCACCATTCAATGGTGTGAGCCACCGACCCATTGACCAGGGACCCGGTGGCCCGGTCCGGCACCGTGGCGACGTGGCGATCCCTTGAGCTCGTCGAGCTCGATGCAACCGATGCAACCGGAGATCCGAAAGAATCCGAAAGATCGATCGAATCGGTTTCGAGCGAGCATGAAGCAATCGACCCGTTGGTAGCGAGCTCGGCAAGGACATCAATGAGTCCCTCACAGGGCCCCCGGGCGGGGTCACCCCCTTATGAAAGAATGCATCAAAGGCAACAGTCGTCAATCTTGCTCTACAAAAACGATGGAATTGGATTCCTACCAAAATCCGTTTGGTAGAGCAAGATCTTATACGAAATCCGTTTGGATTCCGTTGCTTCTTTGGGCTTACCGCCCGGATTTCCCATGGATCTCTGGGTGCTGGCAAACGTTCCCCAGCGACGTGCGACATCGCCCAGCGACGTGCCTGAATTCATAGCCCAGCTTAGCCAATTCGCTTGCTGCGTACATGGCTGGAGAGAGTTTGTGATGCAGCACTTTGGCTGCAGTTTTTTGATCCAGAAATGCTATCACAGAACTTGAATGTGCCAGAAGTGCGGCAGTTCGCAGTGCCCATAGTGCAACCAACCACAAGGTAACATACTCTTCGGATTCCATGGAAAACTTTGGGGCTCTCATATGTAAATACAGCAAACCCTTTTATTTGTGCATTCATTCTGAACAGGGTCCCATGCATGGTGCAGTTCCCTTTCGTCCAATCAGTGGATCTCCACACTCAAAACCCCACACTGAAAGCCCCACATTCGGATACATTTGGGAACATCACCCTATACCCTTCTCTCCGTTAGAAAAACCAACGGGAAGATCGTTGAAGCTCCCAACGAATGCGATGAAGCTCCACCACGCCTGCCCACCGAGCTTCGCCGAGACTCGCCGCCGCCGTCGCCGACTCGCCTGCAGCTTCTCGTTGTCGTGCTCCGCGTCCGCGTTTCCGTCGTGCAGCCCGTGCAAGTGGAGGCCGTGCGGTGCTGAGCCATCCCTGGTGTCGCCGCGAAGGACTGCGGACGCCAACGACTGCGGTGGAGGTCCGTGGGGTGTCACGAAGAAAGGGAGGTCTGTGGGTGGGGGTGGTTGATCTCTTTTGCAACTGGTGCATTCAATTTGTTGGAGGGTGTCCAAAGTTCAATTTCTGATGAGGCAGGACTCAGATTCAGTTTGTTCGACAATCCAAATGTACAAATTGTCCAACAGTTTCACCCGTGAGAAGTTCTTGAATTGCCATTTAGATCTGGATTGCACTGTTCAATGGCTGGTCTCACAACATGTTAAGGAAAACAGGCCCCGCGAAGAGTCACAAGGCCTCCCACCCTGAGATGTCCCCATTTGGCGGTGCCATTCGTCTCGCTCCGAATGCGGTGACGCGTGGGGTGTGCCGTCTCCGCATGCCTGCCCTTCTCCGGCGTGACGTTTTTGAACATGAGGCCCAACCTCAGGCGAGATGCTTATAGAGATTGTTTCTCTTGTTGTGTGTACTTCAATTATCTTCAATTACAGTATAAAGGCTGTGGTTGTTGGATGTTGGAACCTTCTCTTGAATTCCTTCCTCTGTGACACTGTGTATATGCATCTGAGTCATCCCTGCCCATTGTCCACGACTGGGATCAGAGTTCTCAACGCTTGGAGGCCTCTTCTGCTGGATTAAATAGTCCCCAAAATTGTCAACAAAGCTTCAACAACTTAGCAATGTTTATGAATTGCGATCATTTAGTCCAACAAAACCAATGATTCTTGATCAAAACACACACTACACTCATGTGACCAATTGTGGCCTTAGCAGATGCAAGGTATCTTTTATGCCTTCAATGTCTTTCACCTTGTCGCCCCACGGCCGGCGGGCGAACTCCATGACCGTTCCTGTGGCGACCGCGGACCCGGCCGCGTCGGCCGGCTCCGTGGTTTTTCGTTCGACTTCGGAGCATGGGTCGCAAAGTCGGAAAAGGTCCACAACGAGTGTCGTGGGGGCCCAAGAACACTGAGTGAAGATCCGGAGGGTCTTTTGTTTTGGATGATGTGATCTAATACATATTAGATATATTGGATTATATGTGTATGATTGTAAACAACTCCTCATGATTCCTCATCACCTTTTTTCAAAAACTTGGATCCCCCACACTTCAGCTGCTTCAGCTTTCTAGTCTATTCATCCCAATGTTTTCTGCTTCAGCTCTCAAGTCGGTCTGGTCATCTTCGCCCTTTAGCTTTCTCCGCACTCTGTCGAATGGCCATATGATCCTGCTGCGGACTGCGGACTGGGCGATATATAGTGTCAAAGAACGCACTTGTTTTGTGTAACCTTGGTCGACATAGGCCAAATCTATCACTGGATGCCACCTGTTTTGTTGCATGTACTTCCGTTTCTTTCCTATAATGCATGCATACAAAGACCATCCTACAAGGAAACATGTCTCAAGTCGGCAAAGCCATGGGTATCCATGGGTGGTGGAGAAGTCCGCTGGTTGCTTCAGGGCCTGGGTGCTCTGAGATTCCAAGCACCAAAGCCATCACAATACATGATCATCATGATCCATGTTGCAGTACTAACCACCTGCGGCCTAACTGCCACATTCTTAACAAAGCCGGGGGTGTCTTCGTTCGACGGTGGGACGGACACCCTGCAGTCCTGTCGGTCATGTGTGGGTCTCATGCTTTGGGAAATGGGTGACGCCCCCTGAAATCATCCTGCGAGGTTGATGGGCAGTTGATGCATAGCCCCCCCCCCGGTCACAATGCTTTCGTCCTGCAGGTTGTTCTGGTTCACAAAGTTCCTCATGAGCGTAATCGATGGAGTGAGGCTCTTGGCCCAGTGCCACCAGCGTGCAGGTAGGATCACCGTCTCACCTCGCACCGCGCACCCCGAACGAGCAGAGCATCGCATCTGATCAAACTCTCTGTGTGGTCAGACTATTAATTCGTCGAGTGAGTGGTTTGTCTTGGATATATACTTCACCAATTGAGGGATCAACACATGATCCACCCGCTCGTAATTCGTTCGACTCTGTCAACAAAAACAGTTGCGATCGAAATCCCTGATGATCCAGTTGCAAAGTGTGTACATGTTTTGATCGACCCCTTTTGCAAATTGTGGATCTCATGGTGAGTTGGTTCTTGGGCACTTCTACCTTTCCACCACTGTCTTGCCCAATATCCTCTTTGACACTTCTCAGGTTCACCCGCAGTCTCGTTCACCCATCGGAAAAACCCTCCCCGTCACCCAAACACGTCCCGTCCCCGCTCCCGGTCGCGCGACCTCGCCTTCTTCCACCACCACGCTGTAGGGCTGGGCCTTCCGAGCCTCGGGGAACTGCACGAAGTCCGGTGCTTCGGGATCGAAGAGCGAGGTCCTGCCATCCACCTGGAACGCACGCGTGCCGCGAGGTGCCGACGAGCAGAAGAGCGAGGGACGGAGCTGGAGACGAGCCGAGACGAGACGAGCTGCGCGCACCACGCGCAGCGAAGTAAACCGCATGGCAAGAAGCATCGGGTCGGACCCGGTGACGGTAAAAAAGGATAAGGAATCGATGGAGTGGTTGAATCCGCTAAAGATCCGTAAAGTATGGAAGAGGCCTTAGAGTAGATGGAGGAAATGAGAACAATCGTTTACAATGTACAACCGATTTCGATTTACTGAAAGGGATGTGCACGGATCCACATATGTCTATTTAATTTGAGAAATATATCTTGGTGCATCTCTTGATATGTCTTTGGTAAGCGCATTATCCTCGTCTCACCTCATCCATCACCATCCTCGTCTCACCTCATCCACCGGCATGCTGTGCAAATAGGGCGTCTCTTCCGGCGGATAGCAAATGAACCTTGGCTTCAGCGCAGCGCCAGACGAGGAGACGAGATGGTTGGACCCAAAGTGCTAGCTGCGACTGGCTCCAGCACTGGATATCCATGCTCCGTGACCATCCCCGGGACCAGTGAGATCATCCAGGATACACCCGTTGTCCCTAACACCTTGGGGACAGCTCTTGGATTTCCGCATCATCTGTCTAATCAAGGATCGTGCGTTAATGTCATGGCATATCCTTCACATTGCGCTGATCTGATCTGATTTGGAGCGCGTTTGCTAGATCACCTTATATACACCTGAGAAACCTATTTGCATAATAACCTTATGATCACCTTATATGGTATAATTACATCAGTTCTGATTCTGCCATCATTGGACCCAATTCGAATTAAACATCCTCCCACCGCAGGACCCTGGCATACCCCGCCCAGGCACTGCTTCCGCCCGCGGATCTGCGAGAGCCACACGTGGGTGGCGTAGGTGTCGTGGTGGAGCCTCGAGACGGTGCCTGCGGGGCCCATGAAGATCTTGGTCAAGCTGCAGTTGAAGACCTCTTCGCGGAGTGTCCGATCGAAACACGCGGACGGAGTGTTCTAAGGGCCGCGGGCCGAGCATACGGACAACGTTGAACACGCGGTGTGTTTGTAATACAACGCGAGCGGGCCAGCCGCGTGTGTTTGATACGCGAGCGTGAGAGGGAGCCAGTCTAGATGGAGCCAGTCAGGTGCGTCAAACTGCATGTCACCAAGCGGAGAGACTAGAGGTTGCACGTGATGCGACATCGCTTGACTGAGGCAAGCCCGGTGCACCCACGGACGTTTCACGTCGTTAAGTGGAGAACATGACTTGGACGAGTGTGGTTTTGTTTTGAAGCAAATCTTGGTTGGATTTTGACCCACTTCTGACCCACTTCCCAAGCTTGTCCCAAAAACCGAAGTCTCTATAACCAATACTATATAAAGATCCATGTAAAGTGTATTTTATATATATATAAGCTTTGCCTTTTTGGACATCCAACCCCACGTCCTTCCACTGCAAACCACCTTTCTACCCCTTGCCCTACCCCCACACCGGTTCCTCGCGCACGCCTTGGCGGGTCCCTCGGTGGGGATCGAGTCGCTGACGCAGTAGAGGCGATCGGAAACGTCGCGCAGGAGCTCCGGATGATCCAGGAAGGGCGCCCAGCCGTTGGCGTAGAAGACGCGGCCCTCCTGGCGAGGCCGGCCGTTCTCTTCGCGTGCCGCCCCCATAGCGGCCGTGGGCGGTGGGCTGGGAAGAGCCTGTTTGTTTCGGATGTGCCGGTCAACACGACCCTCTCAACACCTGGAAGATCCCGTTTCTGGTCTGAGACGGATGGGAAACACCATCCCAGAGTTTTACAAGTCATGAAACAATGGTGTTTCCCATTCTGTTGGAGTGGCTTCTTCATCCCCCAGGCGGCCGTGGTGACGTTGTTTTTCCTTTTGTGGAAGCGGGCCTTTGACCAAGCCTGTGGAACTTGAGCTTACAAGAGGTATTGGCAGAGGTTTACACGCCACGCCACGCCTTTCCCACACTTCTTGTTTCGCTGGACCTCCCAAATCCTCGTCCTCCTGCAGTGCATGGAAGATGCTGGGCTCACCCAAGACATACCTCAAAAAAGTCCATTACTCTGGGCGCATCATCGAAGTGTTGAGGTGTGTCCACTTCCATCTGTGTTTGGAAGGAGATTGATTCATCTGGAAACATCAGGGGGGCCCAAGTGAACACACCCCCTTCAAAAAGAGTCCAACTTGCTGACTTGCAACAAAAACGTCAGACCCTCTCTCCAAACCCTTGCGGACACTCGCTTTCCCCCTAAGACCTTTCCCACCGACCGAGAGACTGGGTGAACTGCCGCAGGGGCGCGGACACCGTGCGGATCTGCCCCCGGTCGCAATGCCGAAAGAAGGGCGCCAGATCGCTGCAGGGCATCACCTCATTGCCGTAAGTGGAGCCCATCCACTCGAAGGTCCATTTCTGTTGCGCTGGCCACCTGGGGGGGTGGGAAGGGAAGGGAGGAAGACCACGAAGGTCACGAAACGGAAGGAACGGGAGGGTGAAACGAGACGAAGCACATTGAATGGGAAGGACATACGGCGTTTTTTTGAAGTTGGAATAGACATAGCAGCACTGGGAGGTCATAAACATACGGAAAAGACTTGCGCTCTCTTTTTGGAAGAGAGTCGTGGGGGCGAGCTTAGAACTTCTTTCTAAGACAAACCCTGCCAAGGGGTTGCAAGTTACAAGAACAATGACCACATAAACGAACACAATGGCAAACAATTGCTTTGTCGATTGCTTTGTTCCGAATTAAATATGTTCTATATCAATCCAGCCACCCCTTCTGTGCGTCCTTCAACACCACAGGTCTGCTCTTGTGAAAGTGCTCGTCCATCTCAGACACGGAGAGGTTGCTTCGCTTCGGAACGGACTTCGCACCTGACACCACGACTTCGGGCAACACCGCAGGTGGAGCGTTCCCCACCCTCGTCCTGCTGATGTCCAAGAGCGGTGGAATGGGCAGCCATAAATGCGTGCCTTGAGCATGTACAGCAGCGGCCACGAGTTCCGGTACAGGCTCCTTCCGCAAGAAGAAGGTGTTTTGCCATGCCACCATGCCTCCAAAGCCCTTCTTCATGCAAACATCTTTGGCTGCTTCTGGGCCGGAGGTGACCGTCCCTGCATCATGACCAGGCAGTGAATCGGTGTTAAAGATCACAACCCACTGTTCACTGCTTGGTGGACTCTTCAATTCCTTCAACTCCTTCTCCCCTGCATCTCCTTTGCAGTCCTTTCGGTGCTCCTTCCAGGTCTTTTGCTGGCAGCTCGGAGAGCAAAAGCGCACCTTTCGACAACCACTGCAGAGGAAGCCTGCGTCACTGCCGCAGTGAAGGCAACACGAGCTTCCTCGTAGATCTTGAGACACCTTCTTCGACATCCCCTCATGGGGAAAGGGAATCTCTTTCATGTACGTCATGGCTGGTCGCCAGCAGAATATAGAAGGGAGTGGCCACTTGATGTACTTGTCTTTTTTAGTACGTAAGGGTATCGCCATGTATCACCAACCTATCACATGACATGCAAGGCTTTGCTTGAAGTGTTTGATAATCACAGGAGCCTCGGATGGGGCATGATAGGTGTTGTCTGAAAAAACCTGATCAACGACACGCATTGGAAACATTCTTCTTACCTGTAGACAACATGTCAACCTGGCTTAATGCTGCAGCCAAGACATTGACATCAAGTTATCAAGCACAACATGCAATGCCACAACACCTCATGTCCAAGGCTCACTCAAAACAAATAGAGTCAGACTAGCTCAAAGTTCCTGTGACTGTGAGATTTGCCTGTTCAAAACTTCAGCTCTTCTTTGCCGGCCAGGTGTGTCTTCATAAGTCCTCGCCGATTCAATGACATACCCTTCCACTCAGCCTAAATAGGTATATAACTTTATGTCCCACCAAACCACTGCATCACCCACTGACTCAGACAGAGTGAGCAGCCCGACACATTCAGAAGTTCCCTCAACTTGCAACAAGGCAAAGAGTGAGACAGAGACCCACCTTCTCCACCTTCTGCTCCTTTTTCTGGAGACAAAGTGAAGGATCCCCTTTCAGAGCCTACCCCCTAGCCCTTCACACATACAAAAGAATGCCTGGCAAATCCTCTGTCAACATGTTCTGCCGCCATCGTGCTAGTGGCCTGGTGGCCAGGTGCGTGCGTGCCTTCGTGCCTGGGCGACACCCCTAAGTGCCTCGCTCCAATCGTGTGATCTTCCCATCGCGGTCCGAGTCGATCCTGGCACGGTCGGAGCCATGGGTCGCGGCTCGGGTCGCGGCGAGGCTTGGGGAGTCGGTGGAAGGCGGAAGCTGATGCAAAAGGGATGGGGCAAAGCAGGGTCGGCTTGGGAAACTCTCTCTCGGGTGTGTGTGGGGTGGGTGGGCTGGTCATTTACTGCTAAAAGATGCTGGAAGACCCTGATGATGGGATGAAACTCTGCCTCATCGTTCGTTTGCGCGAACCATTTCTAAAAACCTGTCTTTTGTGGCTCCCTCCAAAAGCCACCGCTGGCTACACGGCTGCAGGTTGAACCTTTGGATGGTTGTGTCGGAGTCGAAGACCCAACCTGGACCCAAACCCCATCATCCCCATCTTCCCTTCTCCTACCACCCCAAAAAGCCAGAAATCCAACCCGCGCGAGGTCACTCGAAAAAAGCAAGAAAAAACAAAAACAGCGCCGGTGGCACAGCTTGAAGATTTGCTTGGCTTTCACCGGGTCGAAGTGCAATCCGAGCCTCCAGTCTTCGGGCGGGGTTGGGCCGGGGGGAGTCTTCAGACTCTTCGATGGATTTCTGAAAACGTGACACCCAACAGAAATCGAACCCGTCCCAAATCCAATACAAATTGCTCAAGTCGAAGAGTTTAAACCCCCTTTAAAGATTAAAAAAGGCACAAAGCAACAAAGAAGTCGGCAATCACTTCAACCTGGACTCTGGACCCGCTGCAAAGGTCCTAGCGTTCCCGTCGCGTGCGAACCTGGCGCGTCCGGCGCGGCATTGAGCCTTGAGCTCAGCAGGTGATTGAAGTGGTCCGCAGTGATGAAGGGGTTCAGGGCATCGAAGCAAAGGTCCGGCGAGGTCTCAGTGCGAGGGGTGGTCCGTGCAGAGAGCGAACGCTGCACACGTGACGTTTGAGATGGACGGGCTGGCGGGGCAGATCACGCTGCATCCAGGTCTCACGATGCGGAAGCGCCACGAAAGCGGCGTACTAAAGAGGATGAGCAAAGGGAACTGGGTGGTTTTCTTGTAAAAAGAGTGAAATGGTCATGGTGAGTGAACGATGAAACCAAATGCGTTCTTGTTGCAAGTCATGATGTGATGTATTGCTAGAGAATAGCGGAGAGTTGTTTGTGAGGCACCCTTCATGCTAGGTTGCATGTGGGATGGGAAAGGTCATAGGTCCCAGTGGTCCCAGTGCACAGGCATGTTTTGAAGATGTCCTCTTGAAACGGAGTGCATTTCTGGGAAGTGGCCCTAACTACTCTCCAAAGGGATGTCAACTTTTTGGATATCAAACTGTTCTCTTGCACAAATTTACAGCTAGGAGCAAGAACGCTACTAGGGGCTCCTGGCCTTACTACAGTACTAGTAACAAGAAGCTACTAGCACCCCAAAACGCCAGAAGGAATTCCCAAGTGCCATGCCTCAGCTAGCAGTTCCGCCGGCCCACGACCTACTCTTCCGCCAGTTCCGCCAGTTGAGCCCTCCACATCCCCGGCCAAACGAACCAACTGTTGGACCAACTGTTCGATCACCTGCGACGAAAAACAGCTCTTCGGACACACTCGCGAGGTGTGCTACAGCAGGTGATACCTATGGGTTATGCCTATATATCGGGTTATACCTATATGGGTTATACCTATGGGTACCCTGGGTATACTTCAGATGGATTTGGGGATGCAAAAAGCTGTTCGATCTGTTCAATCTGTTCGATCTGCGCCTCCTCCTGTTCGAAACAAAAAGGGACCTCCCATGCAGGCTCCCTTACTTTTGGGGGGCCAAGTGAATCGGTCACTCTGAGTCAGTGAGATTTGAGATGGACCTCCCTCGACCTGCCGTGCTCGTTTCGATGTCCGCCGAACTCACGCGAATCTCGTCAGGGGAAGTCAGTGACCGCCAAGCTGCATCCCGGTGCCTTTGCATCCCGGTTCCCCCACCTGTAAAGTACCAGGGAGGGAGCGTCGATTTGCCGGTTTCTCACCCGCCCATGTGGCTGTAACAGAGTTCCTCGAAAGGGTCATCTGCTGCGCCCCGCGGCACGGAAACGCGCAAGCCAAGCGCAGGCCTCACGTCCCACACCTGCAAGCGCTGCAAGCGCTTCGTGGTTGGCTTGGATGGATTGGATGAGATATCCAAGTCACTTTTAGCAAAAAATCAATCTCATGGGATACTGCCATTGACCTTAAAGTGAGGTCACTGACTCGGTCCAAAACCTCCATGCAAAAATGGCTTGAATTGCAAGTCTTGCCACAGGTCACAGGGAGGTATAAAGAGAATAGGCATTTAGTAGGGCATTGGGAATCTTGCAAAAGAACATCCTCCAATCACCAAAGGCAACATGTTTCGGCAATCCGATGGGATGTGTCCACCGGAGCCACACGGGGCTAGCGCGGTGCAAAGTACCATCCACCTTAATGGGTTTGCCAGAAACCCTCTTTGGGACGGCTATGGAGCATTCTTCCGCCGAATGGAGCATCTTGTAAGAATGCCTCATGGTAGGTGCTTTAGACCACACTTTGGTACACCATGGGAGGTGCGGACCGAGGGACCGCGACCGCGCGACCGCGACACTGCTTCTCTCCGACCGCTTGGGCCTCCGGAGGAACCACTACCTGACGACGAAAGGTCTGGTGTCGTTGAAATCGCCAGCAAAATCGGAGAATGGTGGCAAGAAGGAATCGTTAGACGTTAGACGTTGGAGGACTCTTTGGTGGAAAAAAAGACCCTTGGTCCTCTTTGTGGATTCCATTTTTGGTCAGCTTTTTTTAGAAGAAGACAGGACCTTCTTGGTTGGACCACTCTTGGAGGTTGACCAGCTTCATGAAACTGCAAACGGTCCAAACGGTCCAAACACTTGGATCCCAAGAGAACCACGAAGCACTCACTGAATGAATGGTGGCTTATATTTTACCCTATCTGGCCAAGTTATATATTAAGACTTATTTGTCATGTAGACTCAATTGTTTGATAGTTGAAAAACCTCTTCATAAGGCGTTGATGTTTCAAAACGTCATTCATTACATCTCATCTTTGCTCAGCTTTGCTCCATTCGGGCTGCGCCTGTGGTCTCATTCGGGCTGCTGGTCAAGGTTTGCCCAAAGATCGCCTTCTGCCGCGCAGTTCCGACCCGTACGACCCATACGAAGTGCTGCCTGGTGTGGAGGGAAGTGGAGGCCTTTGTATATATGGGCTATTATATGGAAGCCTTTCACCTCTGATGGACGCAAAGGTTTGAGTGGGGCGTTTGTATGTTAGGACTTTCTTTCTCTGCATGATAGAGTAGTCATATATACGATTGCATATAAATGGCAGGATCGAAAATCTTCATCTAAATGGCACTAGGATTGCAATCGACAGTGTATATGGCATTCTCATCCACAGCCTCGGAATGATCGTAAATTCTGGTCGATTTGTATATGGCTCAGCTTGCTGAGCCGTTTGGCAGCGTACAGTAGATAGGCCGTTGTTGTTGCATGAAGTTGCAACGGATGATGTTGCACTGGAAGTTCCAAGAGCCAACCCTGAAGAACAAGAACATGGGTGGACTGTTAGTGGCTTGTCATTCTAAAGCTATTCATGGATGAGGACCTAATGAGGACCTAGTTGTCCAAAAACCTTGTCCATGTCAGAATCTTGACGACAAATCTTTGCAACTAAGTCCGTGTTGATTTGAGTGCGAGAAGAAGGGGTGTCCAAAAAGGTCTTCCTGTCAATACATTCTTCGACCTATCCAAGATCCACTCGGCACCCCGACGGAGAACACCGCGTCAGAGGGTAAGCGATCCTTTTCACTGTTCAGCCTGCAAAATGGTGGGAATGCTGTTCTTAAGTGGCAACAAACGCAAGAACATTTCATGCTTGGTTGCCTTTCCTCTACTTTGGGACATCCCTCTACTTTGGACTCACTGAGGTATCATGGATGTCATACCGGGATCTGCTGATTGAAACTTAGGCCTAAGAACATATCCAAAATTCAGTACTCAGTCTTCTGTACTCAAGCAACCAAGTATGTAGTTGCAGCCTCTCCAACTTGGGAACCTCATACCTGTGCTGCATCATGCCAGCTACAACCGCTAACCTCATACTCAACCTGGATCACTCACCAAACACCACCCATGCCTACCGAGACACTGACCCATGCGATCCGCGTCGCGACGGGAAAAAACAAACCTTTCGGCCTACTGGGCCCTGCGTCTTCGGCGCAGGCGCTCAGCAAGAACTTCCACAA